GCATATTCTGAGGGGTATTAATGGCAATCTGTCTTCATACTGTAGTAAATTCTTAAAAATTTAAACATTTACTGTATATTTTGATCATACCTAATACATCAAAGGTGAATATTCTAGCTGGGTGTGGTAGCGCAAGCCTGTAATCCCAGCACTTGGGAGCTGAAGAAGGAGGATCGCTGTGAGTTCGAGACCAGCCTGGGTTACACAGTGAGTTCCAGGTCAATCTCAACTACATAGTGAGACCCTGTCTCAAAAACCAAAAAATAAAAAAGGTGAATAATCTTAGAATTCAACAAATATTTACTTAATACCTACTATATGAACACACTGAACAAAATAAACTAGGTCTGTCTTCAAAGAATTTACATTCCAGCAACCATGTCAGAAATCTAACAGCAAACCCCACACGTACTCAGCTTGCCTACCGGGGCTCACCCTCATTGTCTCTCTTGGGCCATGTCATCCTTATACCAGTAAATCCCAAATGGACATGCTATTCTAGGAAGGAAATTTTTATGATCATGAGGACAGAAACGGCGGCACCTCACTTCTCATTCCAAAATCCTTTCCTTCCACTGTGTTCTGGAGCTGGATATTAAGCTTAATATCAGACATAATGTGGTACAATACATTACAGGAGATTTCACTAAACATGTACAAACTTACATCATTCACAGGTGAAAGTGTCTAAAAAGTGTCATGAGACTATATTAAAAACATTCTCCAAGAAAGGAACCCTTCTCCATTGTTGGTGGGAGTGCAGACTGGTGCAACCACTATGGAAATCAATATGGAGATACCTCAAAGAGCTTGGACTGGAGGTTCCATTTGACCCAGCCATCCCTCTGCTGGGTATCTTTCCAAGAGAACTAAAAGAATCATATCACAGAGAAGTATGTGCACCCATGTTTATAGCGGCACAGTTTGTAATAGCTAAATCTTGGAAACAGCCCATTTGCCCATCCGTTGGAAACTGGATAAAAAAGATGTGGTTTTTCTATAAAATGGAATATTACTCAGCCATAAAGAAAGAGAAAATAGATTCATTCATAGGAAAATGGATACATATTGAAGATATACTCCTAAGTGAAATAAATAAGTCACACATGTGTAAATACCAAACAGTTTCCCTGGTATGAATAATCTGCAACAATGCATAAGATTCTAATAAGATTACTGACATTTAGAAATGGGAAGAAAGGAGCTAAAGGTGTAGGGAAGGTGGGATGGGTAGGGGAAGAGTAAAAAGGGAAAAGAAAAAAATGTGAGATAATGAAAAGATGAAAATAAAGTGTTTGTAGATGGGGAGGGGAGGAAGGGGTGAAGGGAGGGCAGAGGTAAGGGGAAAAAATGAGAATCAAGACTTGTCATGTAGAGGTACAAGATCCCAACAATGAATGTAAATGTACTGTATCCCTAAAATGTACCAATAAACTCAATTAAAGCTGAAAAAAAAAACATTCCCCATATTTCTATTCTTACAGAAACGTATGTAAGATATTAGAAATTACATATTTCTCTAATTTCAAGCCAACATCTTGGCATTATGGAATGAATCATATATATAAGACATAGAGGCTATAAATGAACATGTCTTCCTTGTCTCAAATCCTTTCCCCAATCTCCAGGAATATGGGGAAGTGAAAAAATTATCAGATAGGAAAAAATACTGGAGAATTTGAGCCTTTCTAACAATCATAGAAGCACAGACTTGTGAAAAAATAAATGCAACAGAAACTGAGGTTAAATTTTAAGTATAAAAAAGAAAGCAATATAGAAACATGAGCTACTTAAACTCTTACAGTTTTGAGTATGGGAAGTCCCATAGGGCCTACCTGTAAGGGTAAAAGGTGTTACATTGGGGAGTGTCAAAGACAAAGTCATGTTTTATGGACTGGAAAATGAGACTTGGGAAGAGCCAGAAGCTTTGGTTTTTTTCATGCAGAAGAGGTATCTTTCAATTCCTGAGTAGTACTGTGGAAAATGTTTTACATGATCTTTGCCACATTGCAGGCTCAAATCAGTATGCTTATATCAGGAGTTTATAGCTCAGCATCTTTTTTGTGGGTATGATACTGCAGGGTAGAACCCAGGGCTTCACAGATGCTAGCAAGCTCTCTACCACTGGCTACATCCCTAGACCATTTTTATTCATACTCTCTTCATTCAGCAGTACTGGGGATTGAACCCGGGGCTTTTGCATTGATATCCCTTAAATTTTTTAAAAAATTGATTCCCCCAAACTTAAAGACCCAATCCAAAAATGGGCATCTGAAATGAACAGACATTTCTCAAAGAATTAAAAGCAGCAAATAAATATATCAAAAAATGTTCAACATCACTAATCCTTTGAGAGATACAGATGAAAACAATACTGAGATTCCATTTCACTCCAGAAAGAAAGGCTGCAAAGAAGAAATCAACCAATAACAAATGCTGGCAGGGCTGTGGGGAGAAAGGAACCCTTCTCCATTGTTGGTGGGAGTGCAACCACTGTGGTGATCAATATGGAGATACCTCAAAAAACTATGATTAGAGGTCCTAATTGACCCAGCTATTCCCCTGCTGGGTATCTTCCCAAAAGAATTAAAATAATCATACCACAGTGATATATGCACACCCATGTTTATAGTGGCAGTTTGTGATAGCTAAAACTTGGAAACAGCCCAATTATTGTCCATCAGTTGGAGACTGGATAAAGAAGATGTGGTTAAAAAAATGGAGTACTACCCAGCCATAAAGAAGGAGAAAGTAGAGTCATTTATAGCTAAATGGATGCACAATGAGGCCATACTCTTAAGTAAACTACATAGGACAGATGTGTAAATATCAAATAGTTTCTCTGGTGTGAGAAACTGAAAGTGTAAATAAGAATCAAAATGTATAATAGATAGGGGCCAGGTATTTAGCTCAGTGGTTCCACTGCCTGCCTCGCAAGTGCAAGGTCCCAAGTTTGATCCCTGGTACCAAAAACAAACAAACAAAAAACTGTATAACAGATAATGTGAAACAGGAAGAAAAGGTCTAAAGGGGAAGAGGAAGTAGGAGGAGTAGGGGAAAAGAAAGAAAGGAAAGGAAAAATATGAGAAAAGGAAAAAGTGGAAATAGTCTTTGTAAATAGGGAAGGGTGGGAGGGTTGAAGGGAGGGTAGGGGAATGGGGAAAAAATAAGAACAAAGATATATCGTGCAAATGTACAAATTCCCAGTGATGAATGTCATCATACTGTATACCTAAAATGTACCAATAAACTTATTAAAAAATTTTTTTTGAGACAATGTCTCTCTGAGACACTAAGTTATCCAGGCTGGTCTCAAACTGGTAATCCTCCTGCCTCAGCTTCCTGAATAGTTAGGATTACAAATGTGTGCCACCACATCTAGTTCAGCCTCTTATAAGGAGTAAAACACTGGGTTAGGACTTTCGGTACCAGAAACAATAAGACAGTATAATCACCCCAACTGTAGAACAGGGTTAGCTCTCCTATCTCTGCACATAAAACACAGAGACATAACCCTGGAACAAAGAGGACAGATGGTAGTTAGGGTTATAATACTGCACTTCTTGCTTGGGTAACAGATGGCATGCAGAGGTTGGATAAATCACTTAACTTGAGCTAAGGGAGTCTGAGTAACAATGAGTAATAATACGAAAATATTTTCACTCCAAAACCCAGAGATTGGATTTCTTAAATAAGGGACCTACAGATATTCATTTACAATTTTCAAAACCCTTTGATGTGGCCTGGGACTTCTGATGGCTCAGGTCAGGGTGTAGATATTTTTTTGAGGCATAAGGGTCTACAAAAGCATAGGTAGTTCTCCATCAAGACTGTGAGTGGCAGGTACTTGTTAAGGGCAAAAAAAAAGTGTAAATATAAATGAAATATAATTAGTTTAGTCACTCATAGGTCATATCTATCTATCTATCTATCTATGTCAACTAAGAGGGTAATTCTTAACAAGTACTCATATATCAACTTATTATGCAATCACAGACATATTCATGTATCATGTATATACACTACTTTAGGGAATATTCCAGTTAGTAAACCTGCATTCTGGACCACACGGTCAAGGCTACTAGGCCTAGACAGCCAAAGCTCATCCTCATAAATATCATTTCAACAGCACAGGGACACTACAGGGAACGTCAGCCAAGAGGCTACGACCTGAGGATGCCCACTTATCTTCTACCCCGCCACAGACGGGCAAGCAAGATGGGACCAGTGAGCAGCAGAGGGGCGTGGAGCACCAGTAGCATCGGGGGTAACAAACAGAAGAGGCCAAGGCGAAACAGCAGCTTCCTGGGGCACAAATTCCATGGGGAGCCAATGAAGCAGCAGGAGGACCCTTCAATACATCTTCATGTGTGAGATTTTGCTACTCATCCCCAAACTCTTCCTCTGTCCTTGTCAAAGGCCTATGTGAAATTGAATCTCTCCTTTTCTTCCATCTCTTATTTGGATTTTCCTCCAAAATCCATGGTTTCTTAGTTGTTGCCATTTCCATCAACCTCCTGCCAGGATGACAGCAAGATGGGTGTGTCTTGCCCATGGTGCATCCTAAAAGGCTACTTCGGCTCTTGACACTAACTTTACATGTCTAATTCTGTGCTAGCAGGCAGTTAATACAAAACGTAAGTACCTAATAAGTTCATACTTGTTTTTTTCTCGCATGTGGTCCCAAATATTCAATAATCTGGTCTTCCCTAAAGTTATACATTTTTTTCAGACAGCTAGAACATGTTCCTCTCCAAAACTGGGTTATTTCACACTGCAGAATTTACTCACTCTCAGAATAATTTGTAACACATTAAACTCTTGAAAGCTGGCTGCTTGATGGTATGAAAATGAAAATACTAAGAAAAAATATGTAAATGGAAAATAAGGTGAAAGTAATATTCGATGAAAAAAGTATTTTACATATCAAAGAAGAGCAAAATTTGAACTGATTCTTTAAATGGGAAACAATCTTTGAGTCCTATTAGATGAAAACCTACCTTTCACCATTAGGTCCCACTCTGTTGATTAATTTTTCCATGGCTTTCTCTGTCTCTCTCAGTTTTTCTTGCAGTTGAGCAAGTTCAAAATTGGCTGAAAAACAAGTATCAATCTAAGAACCATCTCGCACAATTCCCTAAGCCCTCTCATGAAATATAGCCTGTTGTGACATTCTATGATGATCTAGGTTGGTTCTGAGACTTAAGATACCAAAGGTCAAAAAAGGTTCAGGTGTCTAGGCACAAAGATCTACAGGATAAATAGCTAGTGTGTATCAAATAAATCATTGCATCTTACATACAGAAAGACAGAAGGACAAACTGAAGAAAATACCCAAAGGGAAAAACACACCTACATGGTCACCTAAGAAGAAATGCAGGAAACAACATACTCTTTGTGATCCAAACAATGCCTGAGGGTAAAGTGCCAAACCTATAAGGTTCAGTACTTTTGAAAAGGAGTTAAGACCCTGAAATGAGCACCATTTTTACCTAAAGCTCAAGAATCTATCTGGAAGTTAATAAACGTTGAACTTCTTAAATGGAGAAAGTCTTGAACTAAGGCTGAGGCCTCTGTACCCAAAGTGTTCTACCCTGGATATCTGGGATACAGAGTAGGCAATGTTAAGGTGTAACCCTGTCTCCCAAATGCAGTTTTCTCAGCCAGGGTCAGTAGGGAGCACACCTATCTACTGAAACTAACAGTAGAGCCCTAAATATAGAACAGAAAAAAGAAATTACTCAATCAGTATGTGAAATGAACTGTAAGGTAGCAGGAAAATAAAATGCTATTCATTATGCGCATGATCTAGTTTTTCTATTTCATACCTGAGTATTTTTCTACCCAAATACATTGAGAGGATCATTACAAAATGTAATATTTAAAAGGCTGTTTAATGCTTCTAGAAAAATTCATGCGTGCAGCTAACATCTGTAAAGTGTATAGAGTTAGTGCTTAGGTTATTTTTATTTTCTGCATAATTCAAAATTAAAGGATAAAAACCTACTATTACTGTTATTATCATTATTACAAAATAACTGCTCTTAGGAATTCATTTAATTTACTTCTTTCTGCCACAAATGAATTATGGTAAGATACAGAATTTGCTATTCTTTAGCATCCACAAATATTTTCAAATTACTGATGTACTTACCATCAATATCTTATTTAAGTACACAGCAGCCTTCTTCAAGAGCTCTTTGACTATTTAAAGATTTCTAAAAAGGATGCAGAGTGTGACTGAGATATCTACTGCCACAGAGAATCAAGAGTAAATTCAAAAGCAGTTATGGCCAAGGGCAGGTGCTTCTTTGGCTCAGTCTCACTTCATTTTGCTAATGACTTTCTTTTAAAAACCTCTGATGAAGCAGAATTGTCCATAATAAGGTAGCAATCTGACCTTAATCTACTCTTCAAGACTCATTTTCCACAGCTGTCACACGTGAGCACTCTCCACCTCCACAAGTTCTGGACCTCATGCTTGTCTGTACCTTATGCCTTCTGACAGGTTCTCCTTTTTATCTGCCCACACGGACATGCTTTCTCATAATGCTTTTGACAAATCCCTTCTTTCTGGGTGGTAAACTTTTCACAGGGTATTCTTCCTGACATTCATTCTAGTATATAAATTCTAAGAAGAAAGAGCTATGCTGTATAGATTTCATTTCCCCAGAGGGAGGGCACTGGCTATTCTAGTCGGGCAATAAATATTTGATGATCGAGTTTCAAAAGTTCAAGATGTTAAACTCTTTCCCAACAAATAATAACTGATCTTCACAAAGATATGATTTCTCTGTTTTCCTCTCTATGAAATAAAGAAATCTGCTACCGATATTTTGAAGCTTGGCAATGAGAAATTACCCATTCCAAATGTAAACATTAATTTGCCAATGTGTATAAAAATGGAATTAGTGGTTTTATATTTTTTTGTAGCATTCTTCCCTTAAAAGCCTAAGGCCAATACAGAAACTTCTGAGAATTCCCAGAGCTAAAGTACAAAGAGTATCAGATTAATTTAGAGCAACTTTGGAGAAATGTTTTTAAGACATATCCACAAATTGTTCCTCAGGTTGTATTATAGTTGCCTAACTCAATAACATTTGTGAATCTACCAAGAAGGGGTACTTACTGATTTTCCTGTGGGTATTTCCAGGTGTGGCAGTAGAGCATTTCCGATCCTCTGCAGTTTTCCCCTTTGAGAGCTGAGAATTGAAGCAGGTACAGCACATCAACAGCAGCTCAAAATCTCAAAGTCATGGAACCCCTCATATTAAATGAAAAAAAATAAAACAAAAAGGTTGGAAGACAAACTTAAGTTAGAAATCAAATCAAATAGCAACATTAAATAAATATCTGACAAAAAAAAAAAGATAGTGAAAGATTCATTCAAAAAGGTAGCCAGGGGCCAGGGATTTAGCTCAGTGGCTCCAGCGCCTGCTTTGCAAGCTCAAGGACCGAGTTCGATCCCTGATACCCAAAAACAACAACAACAAAAAAGTAGCCAAAGAAAAATTACCAAAATGGAAGAAAAAAAATTTCCTAAAGATCACCCACCTTGCTCATCTACAAGGGGAGGTACAACTACTGAAGGCAATTCTTGCAGACTCAACTGAGGCTGCCTGCAGAATTCCGAGTCAAGGAAAGAAAAAAAAAAAAAAGTAACCTTACTCTAGTTAGGAGCACAAAGTGAAGACTGCCTCTACTTTACAATTCCCAGGCCAAGAGCCTACAAATCCTGTGTGGAAATAAAATTTAACTGGGGGGTCTGCTTTTAAAAGACCCACACCCTATCTCCCCAGAACCAGAACATCTTTATGCCTCTTTAGCTTGCAAAATCATTGTCTTTTTTCCCCTTTTGGATATGAATTACATTATTCATTAGATTAGGAATTAAAAGTTCAGGGAAATTACTGGCAAGGGTATTAAAAAACAGCATCTCACATTTCTGTGGAGAAAAGGGACAAAACGGTTTTGGTATCATCATTATTTGGTCTCACAATGACTACTTGGAAATCACTGTGCCAATCCTAACGCTTGTCTAAAAAAATATTTTTGTTTTTTCAAATTGCAAAGATGGTTACTATTTTTTGGCTTTGAATTATAATGCTCATTGAATCAGAAATTAGAAGATCCTGGTTCAAGTCCTGATTCTGCCTTTTTAGTTGTAAATTGTGGAACAACTTACTTAAACTCTGAGCCAAGATTTGTCACCTAAAAGTAAGAGAATAATCTATTCTAAGTACCTCACAAAACAGAAGCAAAGTTTAAAATGGTGACAGATTTGAAAGAGCTTTTTGAACACTGATAGGCTTTAATGTAGACAATAATTTTTATTATAATGATACTGGATTTTCACTGATATGACACGATTAAGAAGACTCCACTTACCTTAAATAGAATGTATAATATATATAAAAAAATCCCAAAGCCATAGATTGGAATAATTTGCCCCATCAGGCCTCTTCCACTACCTCCTCCAGTGCCTCCACCTGATCCTTTGGTTTTTGCAAATGCCCCGGCAAGGTGAGACCGCTGGAAACGACCTCCAGGAGCCTGGCCATCAGAGGGCGCTGGTTGATGATGCATTATAGGGGGTAATCGGCCCAATTTTCCTGAGAAAATAAATGAATTTGTTGTTTTCTCTTCAATATTTTAAGTATAGTTACTATGAAACACCTCATGCATCAAGGCATAGATGATACAAACCAAATGATACAAGTTTAAGAAAAAACAGGAACTGGACTAAAAGGAAATTGATGAATACATCCACAAATACTAAATATCTTGGGCACTATCTAGCTATTCACTAAACTCATTTTTTTCTTCTTTCGGGGCCATAGTGAGACCACATATTTTAGCCTCCCACAGAGCTAAATATGACCTTGTGACTGGGTTCTGACCAAAGGAATGTAAGTGATTGTAGTCATTTAAGGCCTTGCCTATAAAGCCCCCCATGTATCCAACTTCATATTGTTTCTCTTCTGCAGAATGGATGGGACATCCAGGAGACCTTGGAAATCATATGATGAAAACAGCAGAGCCTCCATCAACCTGGATTCCTGAATAACCACGTGGTTAAGGACCCTCCACTGCCACCACCTTGCTAACTTATAGCCATCTGAACCTGCTTGTAGGAGTAAGAAATAAGCTGCTATTATGCTAGGGCCATTACCTACTTTGGAGTCCATCTATTATAGCAGTTAGATACCCCGATCTAATGTGGCCTGGAAGAGAGCAGAACCAGAAAGTGGAAATCCATCAGGATCCAAGACAGCTACGTTCACATTCTAGCCCAAACTCTCTCCCTCTCTATGGGGTCATAAGACTTTTCTTTGCTTCTCTGCATGTGTTCACAATCCTTTTTCTTTGGACCATTTCTCTAGCTTCTTTGTACACACAGTAGAAGATGGTCACCCCAAAACATCTCAACTTGCATGTCCTTGAAGAAGCCAGCTAAGACTGGCCCTAATTTAAATTCCTTAGAGGGAGACTGAGTACACAGATTGGCTTGATAAGTGCCCCTTTCCAATCAGGTATAACTGAGCAGTCTCAATTCATGTAGTATAAACAGGGTCAAAGGGGCTCAATCTTGTTAGTAGAAAAACAGGGCTTACATTTCTCATATTTCTTCCCTCTATCAAAAGCAGCCAAAAGTTAACACCACAGCCTCCTGAGAGCCATAAGAAAGAAAAGAAAGACATATCTTCAAAAGGATATGTAAACAAGTGTGTATGAAAACTACTGGGAGACAACACTACAGAGTAAAAAACACTAGATGGCAGAGACTATAAATAAGACTCTGAAAATACAGAGCATAAATAAAAAGCTATTGGATTCGACTCCAACAATATAAGGGATCACTGTTCAATAAAGAATACCATGAACTAAGAGGAATGAAAGCAAGGAAAAAAATTTACATTTAAAACTGACAAGGGATGAAATATCTATAATGTACATGGAGAGGCTCCAATTCAATATGAGCATCACAAGAAGCCCAACAGAAAAACAGGCAAAAGATATCAGTAGAAGAGTTATATAAAGGGAAGCCTAAGTGGCTAACAATATATAAAAAGATGATCATACTGAAACTAAAACAAATGAGAGGGCATTTTATACCTACCTGAAGGGTAAAATCAGAATGGTGGATAATGGCAAAGGTTGGCAAAGACATGAAGAAGCAAGAATTCTCAAGCATTGCGGTTAAGAACATAAAATGACAGACATTCTGCTATGTGATTTGTCTGAACCTAGCAACATTCATTATGTACAGGCCCTATGGCCCAGAGGTCGCTCTTTGGTGGATAAATCCCTGAGAAATTCTCAAAGATTTATGTACAAGTAAATTACACACTATAGGCATTTGAAAATGTCTGCTATGATGTTATAGCAGGGATCACAAAGTCTTTGATTTCCACAATTGGGACAGAAAATCAAAATGGAGTTAATACAAATATGGAATTCTATGTAACTTTGAGAAACCATGCTTTAGATGTACCTGTGGAAACACAAATTCATCTTTTAAAATTGCCAAACATCATTGAAGGGAACCCGATGTGAGCCAGGTGTGGTGGCGCACACCTGTAATCCCTGCACTCAGGAGGCTGAGGCAGAAGGATCACTGTGAGTTCAAGATCAGCCTGTGAGTTCCAGTCCAGTCTCAACTACATAGTGAGACTCTATTTAAAAAAAAAAAAAAAAACATAAAAAATAAAAAGGAGCCCGATATGAGCTCTCCTTGAGATTCGGGAAAGGGGATAGCAAGCCAACTCCCCTTTGGGCTGTTCTATAGCATGCCAGTGTCAACCAGTTTCAAGGAAAGAAACAACTACAGCTGAAGTCTAATTAAAGAAAATACACATTCGGGTGCAATGTGTAAATTATGAGAACCTGATAAACTTTTCCTGAATCCTGGACGACATGCTTGCTTGATTCTTCTTTCTGCAAATCTAATAAAAGTGAGGAGCACTATCAGTTTGGGACTCTTTTGTTCACGACAGGCAGAGAGTCCCCTGGTCCTTCTCTTCCAAATTATTTTTGTGTCTTTTGTCTTTAATCCTTGTTCACCTCTTGGGTTGAGAATAAACCTGAAGGTTGGACTTCTACAATCATGATGTAAGGTAAAGACATAAACATAACTAAATTATATCTCTTTCAAGTAAATATGTAGCTATAAAGACATTGTAATGGGTGCATATGAGCCAAGAAGAGAACGGGCATATGGAATGAGGATAAAGGACTAAAAACAAGAGGAACAAGGAAAACCCTTTCACTGATAAAAGTGCTATGAACTGAGGGCTCTCTTTAAGCCAATTCTCTTCTGTCCTGTAAGGAAGAAGGTAGGGAGGTAAGACAGCTAGCTACTGGGCCTGGAAGCTGCCTTCTGCCTAATGTCCCTTCTCATCCAAGGGCTGGCCCAGTGGCCCTCCTTTCCCTCCCAGTACTTGGGAAGACATGGAAATCATATGAAAAAAAACTCTCTTCAAAGTGGGACAGCAACAAAAGCACAGCTTCGGAAAAAGGGGGAAAACACCAAATCACTGTCCCTTATTCTTAGTGTTAGTCTCTTTTGGATTGTCAAGGATCTTAATATACTATGTGGTGAATACTGACCACAGGCTATTAAACACCTTCAAAAAATAACTCGTCAGCATCCAGGAAGCTAGTCCTCTCTCTCTCTTTTTATTTTATTTATTTATTTATTTATTTATTTATTTATTTATTTATTTATTTATTTTTGCTAATCCTTCTCTTGAGACAATCTGACATGTCAGGTGGCTAATGCTCAACAAACTACATTTAATATTTGGAGTAATAGCTGACAAACATCATTTTAATGTACTAAGACCACTGTCTTTAAAACTTGGCATAAAACAGAAAATAAAATCTTAACACATAATTGACAGACATTATTTTGCATTTTAAAAATTTAAGAATGATAATGCTAAACATCTCCCAAAAACTTTTATAGATCTCTAAGCCATGAAGGTTTAGAAGATACCTAAGACTATTATAGGTAGGAAAAGAAAAGCACCATAAATTAAATATAAATAACAGTTCCTACATAGAACAGTGATTATAAAAAGCAGTCTGTACAAAACAAAGACAAACAACAAGGACAGGGTATCGTGGGCTAAATATTAAAAGGATGTAAAAATAAATTTAAAAAAGAAGAGTCAAGTGCTGTCAGTAATTGCTGGGAATCAAATTCCAGAACAGCAGAGAAGGAAGGAAGACCAGGAGGAAAGTTGAGTGTGCATGATAAAAAAGCTGAGAACAAAGAAACTACTAAATAGGTTCAACGACTAAATTAGTTTGGCTCCGTTTAGAGAACTGACAAGAAAGAGGGAGACAGAAGTGAAGATGGGAAGGAGCTAACATGTGGTGTATAAATTTGATACTGTAGATCTTGATGAGAAAGGTGCTTGAGGGGGATTAATCTAGGAGTTGAATACAAGGCCTAATAGAGAAACTAAGGTCTGGGAAAAAAAAACAGCGAAAAGGCTATTATAGTAATTTAGTTCTCCGATGCATGTGCCTGAGGTGCCTATAAAAAGAAAAAGAAAAAGTCCAAGGGCTATTCCCATGTAATTAGCAGCAGCATTTAATATTGAACAGAATATAAAGCTAGCTAGGGAGGAGTCAGCTGCAGGACGAAGGACTGAAGATATTAAGAGAAGATAACTGAAGAAACAAGAAGGGCTTATGATTATAGAATGACTGAGTACACATTTTTCATACATTGCATTTCAGGTGTTGATGGAATATAGAGAAAAGTTTTATTAGACCACAGATAGGCTTGAGAAGTAATTTTGTTGCTATCCAAATGACAAACATAACTAAAACTGAACGAATTGTTACCAATATCAAAATACTGAATGAAATACAAAGTTAATGAAGAAAAAAGAAAAATAAACTGGTCAAAACCAAAGTCAACCATAATCATAAAAGTCAGAGGACAGAATTAAAACCAACTGAAAAGCCTAGAAGAAAAAAATTGATTAAAGATTAATGGGAGTCCTTGGTTTTAGATACATTGTTGACAAAAGACCAACATTATATAATATCCAGACTGTCCCATCTGTTTAGACAATAATAGAAATAAAAGGACAATAGTCCCACCTTACTCACTCATGGTTTCACTTTCTATAGTTTCAGTTATCCACTGTCAACTATGGCCCCAAAACATTAAATGGAAAATACTAGAAATAAACAATCCTTAATTTTAAAATGCACACTATTCTGGGTAGTGTGATCAAATCTCATGCCACCCACTCCATCCTTCCCAGGAATGAATCATCCCTGAAGCCATAATATCCATGATACATAAGCTATCCACCCATTAGTCATGTAATAGTTCTCTCAGCGTCCTGAGTAACTGTGGTGGCACTGCAGTGCTTACATTCAACTGACCTTTGTTTAACTTAAAAATAGCCCCAAAACACAAGAGTAGTGATGCTAGCAACTTTATAACAGTGCACTGTTATAATTTTTCTACCTTCTTATTATTGTGGAGAGGAATGACTTCTATTGAGTATGGATTTTTTTTTCAGCTTTAATTGAGTTTATTGGTACATTTTAGGGATACAGTACAGTTACATTCATCGTTGGGATC